ACTGGTAATACTTGTACATTTCAAATGATTAATAATTCCTAAATAAGTTCGGTTTATTTATTGCAGCACTGCACTCAAGACTAGGTATCTTAGGAGAGATCTGAGGCCCACTGGCTCACTATCACTAAACATTTCTAATAATGAAAACCCTCAAATTTTCTCATTTCTTACAACAGCGAATAATTTCGAAATTTTTTAAAACATTTCCCAATATATGCATGAATGTGATGAAAGTGAAGACCAATTTAAGTCATCTAACTCTATAGTGTATGTAACTGATCTAAAGTATAATGAAATCAACTACATTCTAAGTAAAATTCAGAAAATGACCTCAAAATCGGTTATTAGTATATTTTCTCGTGATAACTGAAATTTGAATTTTCCACTACTTAAATTGTATGCAAATTTCCTTTTGCTTTCTTTGTAATCTTCTTGCACTTCTAATTCACATTTCAGCGTGCTTTTTTTAAAATTGTGTTTTCATATCCTGGGCAAGGCTTAATTTGTTATTAAAGTATCTAAGAATTTTCGTTTATCTTAGAGTTATGCTTTTCAGGAAGCAAAATAAACAGATTAATTTTTAAATGTGTTTTCAAATATCAAAAGCATTTTCACCCAGTCTTCATTAGAAGTGTTAAAAATGATTTCTGGTTATCAGTTTAAATCATTAAAGCCGAAAATAATTGCATCTACATAGAATTCAGAAAACTCATTATGGAGAACACACACAAGCGCAGTTCTATTTAAAAATTGTCATACTAACAATATTGACAATTCATTTCGTAAATTTTACCAAACAAAGATGAATTTCGTGTTCGCAATGTATTTTTTAAAATATTTTTATGGTCTTGATATAAATTCCCATACATTTTATTAGAAGAATTATGTCTACGTTTTAGCAATTATCCTGGCAAATATTGCATAATATTGAGTATTATGAGGAAGTAGTAAACGCTAATTTATAAACTTGGCTTAACAAAATCAGTTGATATTTCCTATTTGACTTTTAGGTAATTTTGAAAATCATTTTACACAATTTTAACAAAACTTGCTGTGTTAAAATAATACAGTTATCCTTAATAATACAGTTAGTAGCTTTATTACATAATGTTTTTGAATGCGTAACAATTCGAATAATGGAAAACAGTGCCCTGAACCTCTTCCTAAATTAAAAAGTACTTATTCATATTAAATAAAGTATATTGTAAATTAGAGTTCTTGTCGAAGACCTGCAAAACGTAAATAAAGGGAGAGGGGGAGAAAAAATTGTGAATTTAACACTAATGACCTTTACGTATAAACTTGAGGGAGCTTAATGCGAAAGAAGTAAATTTAAATTTCAGAATTCTTTATTTTGTTTTTGAAATTAATAATTATAAACCAACGAGAGAACAATAAAGAAACAAAATTTCACTCTTCCATGGCCACAAGTGGTATTTTCCATTTTTATTACAAATGACTGAGTATATCATGATGTGTGAGATTAGGGATGTTTAAAGTTGGAATGCTGCTAGTGATAAGAAAGATAAAAAGTACACAGTTAAAGGATAAGTGCCGTGATTAGTTGGACTGTGCATTGATTGACTATAGTTCCCTTTTCATGTTGTTGTTGTTATTTGGAGAGGGTAACCTCTGCGGTGTAAAAAATAACGAACTCTGACCGAACAACAGTTCAGATAAGCCAGGAAATACCACAGCGTCGTCAACGGTCATAAAAACTCGACAACTCAGAAACTTGCGAAATCTTGGGAGAAAAATAAAAGAAAAAAAGTAGTTCTAGGAATGATGGCTCAGTAAAATTCAAGACGGTGAGAACAATAACATCATAAACTCTGCGGGCCTAAGTGGGGCGCCTGCCCCATCTCTGCCTCTTATGTCAACGAAATGTAGAAAAAGATGGCTTTCAACAAAGCAACCATTCTAGGGCCCACCAACAAACAAAGACCGTAGGGGTTGGCGCCTCGATGCCCCCCTCGTATACTTAATTGAGGATAGCCCCTGAGGCACCTGTTTCCACGAGATGTCGCTCTCTGTCAGCAATCCTCTACATCACTGTCCGAAGATGTCCCCATCAACGTTGTCTCGTCGCAAAGTTATATTTTCTACAATAGTTGTTGTTTAGAAAAGTCTGTCACTTTGATGGGACTTGAGCAATGTTTATACCAAGGAAACAGAAACAGGCCTTTATGCTTACAGCCTGTCTCTGAAAGGGAGTGATAAGTAAAGAGAAAGGACAAGCAATATTTTCTTTACAGAACCGTTTTACCGTCTGCCCGTTACCAGTTTCAGTGTGAATACGTTCTGTGTTAGTTCACCTCAAAGAGACGCTGCAGAAAAGATAAATCATAAAATAATGCTTTAAGAAAGCAAGTGTCGATTAGCAACTAATATTTTTATGTGTGAAAATACCTAACTTTTATTAAGAACTAGCCCCCTGCGAGGACAGCTGCCTGAAATAATTATCATTAAAAAAAAAAAAAAAAAAAACTATATAATGATTTTAATGAGTCCGGCTAGTGTCATTTCACGAGTCCAGCTTCACTAAACATCTTCACTAAACTTGTAATTAATAATACTAACAGAAAGGAGGAAGAATTGCTTTCATTGCTTTTAAACGACTTAGTTTGCTAACAACGAAATTTTATTACATTCGTAAGAAAAATAAAACAAATAATTTCAAAAAAAATCGAAAATCAAAATTTTGATTTCGAGGTACACGTGTTTTAGTGGAGGATTACATGTATTCAAAATTTTTGGCTCTAGGTACCTTCGTTTTTACAAATTGTGAAAACAAGCATGCATTTATATAGATTATTCATTGTTTGATAATAAAGGTGATATCTGTTTTCATTTTCTTAAATAGTGGCAGATGTTAAATTGTTATCTGTTGTGGACTGATATCAGTACTTACTTGTAGCTACTATTACAAATATTACTGAATATGTATGTAGATGGCTTTAGGGTTTGCGGAAAGGATTCTTTTCTTTTAATCAGAAAAGAAACGCATAAGTACGCCCTCAATGAATGCAGTTGGAAAATCAGAATTTATTTCTTCATTTCATTTTCCTTTTTGTATTAAGGGGACTCGTACACCTTAAAACCCATAAGATCTTCGAATATGTGACTGTTGCAAGAATTGGGAAAACTTATTTATTTTAAAAGCAATTACATCCAACCTTTTACAGCTGGCTACATAATATATCTGCTTTCTAAAATAGTAATCAGAAAGTTTGTATTGCCACAAATTTTTATAATTTAATCCGCTTTTTGACAAAATTTTTCGTCAAGTTTCCACCTTGCGCGCGCAGTTTAAAACATTCTCTTGCATAATTTGATTCCATATTTAATACATAGTTTTTATAACATTTGAAAACTACTGTGAACTTAAAATTCTAAGAATTTCATGTTAAATTTTAATTTTATTTGGAGTTGAGTTTACAAAATGTATTTTATTAAAAAAACCTTTAATGTTTTCGTGCATAAATTTTTTTAATGCTAAAATATTCATCAAATTTTGGGTTCAGTTAGAAAATAGTGCCCATATAAAGAATTCCATTCAATTTCAAGTATGTACCATTAGCCATTTTTAAAATATCATGCGCAAGGTGGAAACATGACGAAAACTTTTGTCACAAAGCGGATTAAATTACAAAAATATTTGTGGCAACACAAACTTTATGGTTACTAGTTTCTAAAGCAGCTATATTATGTAGTCAGCTGTAAATTGCTTTTAAAATAAATAAAATATCCCAATTCTTGCAACAGTCATATATTCGAAGATCATAAGAGGTTTAAGGTGTATGAGCCCCCTTAAGCAAATTCTTATATTGTATATTTATAATTGTGTATTGTAAAATCAAACAGGATGAGAAGGAAATCTAGATAATTTAAAATTTAACAGTTTATTACTTGAAAAAAAAATCTATTAGAATAGGGTGAAAATAATAGCATCTTATCAACAATAAGAAGTTTTTCAAATAAGTTATGAATTACGAAACTTTCCCTGGTTTGATAATATGAAGAATTTGAATAAAAACATTAATGCAAAGTAGCAAAATTATATTGGTATTCTAATAGCACCTTTTTTTTAAATAGATTAAAGTTATAATCTTAATTAATATACGTCTAAAAGTTATGTTATATGTAAAGTTACTTAAATTTTTTCGTACTGTTGCGTACGTATGGTTTATAATGGATTGAATGAATGCATACAGAATTGATAGATAGTTTGATAAAATGTGTTTCACCAAAAGAAACATTTCACAATTCTGGAAATTTGCACAAAAATACTCTCACAGCTCTTCTCAGTACCACATAGCGCAATCAGTAGTTGCACTTCAAACTACTAAGAACTTTAAACATAACGTAATACAAAGTGCATCTAAAAGGCGAAGCTCTCGACTTCAGCTCTGAACTAATAACTGAGAGTGCCAAGGATGAGTTAGTTTCGGAGTACCTACAGTTTTCGCAGTTTACATCCACATCATAAGAATCGAAATGAGCAGAATTAAGAACAAACAGAAAAGAGAGAAGAGGGGAATGAAAGGGAAAACCCAGCAGAGCAGATGAACAGATGCTCTCTCAGGTCATACAGTTTTTATCCTGCCGCCAAGAAATCTCTAGTACAGTTAAAGTTGCATCTAAGGGCTGGATACGGTTATAGTTACATATAGGCGTCAATTACAGTTATTCAGTGAGAGTATCAATTAGTTATACAGGGACCGGACCAAAATATCTCCAAATGGTCGCCAAGGCTGACGACTTTTTGCAATTTCTAGCCAAATCTCGCAATAAAATTAATCGCCAAAACCATCTCTAGCTTGGCGATATTTCCCTGTAGCGAGATAGCCATTTACCTCAATGTCAAATAGACTTGCTCCTATAATCTTATTTTTCGTCTCTTTCAAGCATTTCATATTACACTCTACAAAAAATACTACAATTTCACATAATTTCACCAAAATTATTTACATATATACAAAGTTCATAAAGTTACTTACATATTTGGTAATAGCAACAATGAAAAAAGCGGTATGAGCAATTTCACGTAGAATCATATTAATCATTGTTTTTTTAATCTTTTCTTTCCGAAAGACTTGTCTTCCTGGCAGAATCCTCATCGAAATATAATCTGAAATCGAAGAGATTTTTCTTTTTAAGAGAGACAATATTTTTTTTAACTTGAAGTGATATATATGTTACAGTATATTTTAAAAAATATAAGCTCATTTTTAATTAAATAACGTGTTATTTAATTCTTTATTGTTAACTAACAATTCGATAAATTAACATGTTATTTAACGTAACAATTATCTGTATCAAAACAGGTCAATTTAGCTGCATTTTTTATCATTTTGAAGTTTAATAGAGAAATACAATGCTGTTTAATATATGTGTGTGTAACAGAGAAATATAATGCAAAGTTTCCAATAGAGAAGACATTGTGAAGTGATATGAAGCTTACTTTTAACCATTGACATTTTAGTCACGAAAATGTAGGTAATGAACATCAGCGAAATAACACAACTTACAATATATAAATTTAAGTTCTTGAATCAACATCCTGTAATCAAGACAATTTACAGTGTATTTCATAACTATTCATTTGTAAAATTTATTTGCAATCTATTTAGACTAGTTGATCTGACGCAATAAAATATCATTCAATTTTTTATAAAATTGTTATTAAATTTTAAATTAATAAATTAGCAATTCACAATAATAATGATGATAATCATGATAATGATAATTATAATAATATGGCTGCAGCTTTTCATAGTGATAGTAATAGTAGTAGCAATATTAGTATTCGTAAATAATAAACTGTAATATTAGTAATAATGATTATAATAGTAGTCATAATAATAGTCATAACAAAAATGGTAAAGGAACAATAATGGCAGTAAAAATAACAAAGGTAATAGTAATAATAAAGGTAATAATAATGATGGCTATAATAATAGAAATAAAGCGATGAAGAAAAGAAATCTAAAATTCTAAAATTCAATTAACGGTCAAGCAGACATTTAATTTTGAATTAACTGCCAGTTTTCTTCATCACTTAAAAATACCACTAAATTATTAGATTAGTTGCTTTGAAATTGCATTTTGCGTCAAGCTGAACACTGTAGATTAATGAAAAATTAAATTTTTCCAATATTATGTATATATATATATATATATATATAAGTCTGAATGTTAGCAGATTTTAATGGTCCCCCAAAAGAGTTTTTTAAATTTGTTTACGCTCTCACTGAGATCGCATTCCAACAGCCTGCTGTTACCCTCACTCCTAATAACACTTTTTACTTCCTTTTACGAAGTAAAAAGGAAGTATCGCAATCACGAAAATTTTCAGGCAGCATATTTCAACAAAAATATCCATTTTCACCTCTATTGAATGCAATTTAACGATGTTTTTGCGTGACATCTGTACGTAAGGACAGAATAAAAGACTTTTTCCCGCCCTCAAAATATATATATATATATATAACTGTTTTAAAATGAATTCTGAAGAGAAATTTTCGTGGCGTCTGTACGTACGTGCGTATCTCACATAACTCAAAAATGAGTAGCCTCAGAACGTTAAAATTTTGTATACGGGACTGCTATAGCATGTCGATGTGCACCTCGTATTTTGGTTGCAATCGGCAGCACCAAACGTGTATAAATATATTTATGTATATATCCACTCTGTTACCCGGCTCAGTGATCTCAGTTTCTTTACTCTTATGTGTTTGTAAATTGTGCATTTTTTGCTTTAAAGATGATTAAATTATGTTGTTCTTATCTTCCGGTTAAGGTTTTTGTGCCTTTAGTAAATCTACAAGCAATATTTATACAATTATCAACAATTTAAAAGCTGTTTAAGTGCTTTTCCACCTAATTTTTAAATAACAGGGCTGACATATTTATTTACATTTGAAACAGCAGAATAGTAGTTTTGTTGCCAATCTAGAGAGTCTAAGCTTCGCAATAACAAAGATAACGCCTTCTTTTATTACTGCGAATTAAATTATGCTTAATCCATTTTGGAATTTATTCGAGAAAATAAGCGTTTAAGATTTACTTCGTAAATTTTAATATAGATGTTTTGAGTTTTTATGTATTTTTGCCTTGGCGGGAAGTGAGAACTGAATTAATTGAATGAGAAATAGTGAATCGTCTGTGAAAAACTGTTTCTTTTTTGTTTTGTTTGCTTAATTTCTTTTATACATTGTTCTAGATATATTAGAGTATTTGCATAGAACATGTGGCAACGATTAGATAATTTTTCAAACGATTAGATAATTTTTTGTGCATTCTGAGTTATATGAACGAAATATAACGCTGTTAAGTGAACCTAGCGCCCAGAGTGTCGCTATGGTAAACAAATATAGTGAATTTTAAAGAGTGCATTTATTCTATTGTGGTTTATGCGCTCTTCGATTTCCTTCGCGCTTACGCCAAATTTTAAAAGCAGCATAGCGGTAAACGTTCAGAATTTCCGATGCGGCATTAAGTTTTGGCATATATTTTTCCGTTGTTTCTTCAGTCTTTTCTCAGTTCATTATATCAATGTTCAGTTTGTTTTCTTCTCACTAAGACTGCTTTAGAAATTTATTTTTTGTTCTTTTTATTATCGTTTTCTGTGTACTTTATTTTCTAGGTATCATGTTCTTAGCGCTTTCGCCACATAAAATTCGATTCAACGGCAAAATCACAAAATATCTTTAGAATAGTACATCTTTAGACATATCTTAATCTAAAGATCTTTAGACAGATCTTAGATACAAACAGCATATCTTTAGAATTTATGATAAAGAGTTTCCCGCGGTGGAGATTTTTTTTAATATTTTCGTTCAGTTTTGCCACTGCTCGCTTTAAAACTGCCGAATTTAAAATCGTTGATTCAATATTCGGAATTTTAAGTGCCCATGATCTGGTGGTGTTATTCAAAATTTGATTACTCTTTTTTCAAAATGCATAAAAACATGCATACTCATGCAGATTCTTCATTATTTAATTTCTTTAAATATAAAATAGTACACTAATATTTGGTGGCAGCAATCTGAAAAATGATACACGATTTATAGTGATTCAGTGTAAAACACGGTTACGGGACTAATATACTATTCAAGACTATGGCTTTTTGGGCTAAAAAAAAAGCAAATAAAGAAGTAAAAAAGTACTTAATGGAATCTCAAAGCAAATAAAATAATAATCTTAAAATTGAAAATTTATTTCTTTAATTTTGAATTTTCACAGTCATCAGATTTTCTTCGATTCCCTCCCCCTCTGATAGTGGTCTTTAGACGGTTACAGTCATTAGCCACTACTAAGACCGGAAGCCGTGGTGTCTTTATTATGAAGATACCTAATGGATGGGTCACAGTTGCCTCCTATGAAGGGACGGACAAATTACATCTATGCGTTCTCCGGGATTTGGAGCAGGGTTCTTCGATACGGAAGTCAGAATCACTAACCACTTTCCCATCTGGGAGGCTATCTTTAGTTTTAGATCAAATGTTTTAGCGACGTTTAATTAATTAGCAAAGCTTAAAGTGGAAAATTGCTCTCCCCAAACAGTTTCTACCAGATACAGAACTTGATAATGATAAATGATACTTTTTCGTTTAATTCTTTCATCCGCTTTATGCTACAAAAATATTTGAATAACAGAAAAATTGTTTAAAACTAATTATTTCCTACTTATGTACATACATGAATCAGTCTGGATTATTAGACGATGGAAATTATAGATATTTGACAAAAATCTTAAAATATGTTCGAGAAATTTAGAATCTCTTTTTTTAAATCTCTACTTTTAAAAAAAAAAGAAAGAGGTTATGAGATTGTTTTGGATACAATCGAAACTGTCGAATGTTAAGTTTATATGTAGATTTTTCTAACTGTTAAGCAAAAGGGATATTAATGTCTTTTCTGTAAATTTTCACATTAATATTGAATGCAAAAATATTTCTTCCGTGCTGTTTCATCACACTAAAGAACTTCAATTACTTTACGAATTCTTTAGATATGTAAGATTAATAGAACGTATATAAAATCAAACATTTAGGATTATGCAAATATCTAGACAGCCAATAAATACTGTTATAATTAAATGTGCATTTTAGCAAGTTGGAAAGTGTTGCAGAAAGATAGTTATCTTAAAAGGCCCGAAAGACTAATAATCTAGGAATCAGGAGCAGAGATCAGTTTTCCTAGGGAAATATACTAAGAGTCGTTGGAACGGTCTATTTCTGTTTTATTTTTTCTTTCCTGCTTTGATGAAATAGATAAAATTTCTATCTTTGAAACATTTTATCTTTTCTTTTACTTGAAATTAAATTGCAAAAACTTAATATAAGTGAAATAGTCATGGCATCAGAATGTTTGCCATTCTCTATCATCTTGATTTAATTTCCCTCACAAACGCTTAGAAACACTTGTCAAAGACTATCACATTTAATCTTTTAAAAACAAATTTATTTAAATTATTATCTAATTTAGAAGGTTTAGTGAAATAAAATAATTTTTACTTCATACATTTTTTGCCCAGTACTTTTGAAGATAAATGTACAAATATAAAGAAAATTCAATTTTTATAGGATACTTTAATACTTTTACAGGACAAGACAAATCTGTTTCAATTATTATCTAATTTAGAAGGCTTAGAGTGAATCAAATAACTTTTACTTTATGCATTTTGTGCTCAGAACTTTTATAAATAAATGTAAAAATATAATGAAAATTCAATTTTATTATAAGATACTTCAATACTTTTATAGGATAGGGCACATAAAATAGATTTTATAGATTTTTTAAAGATTTATAGGATTAATTTTTATTATTTATAAGGCTATTTTTACAGGATTAATATTTTATTATTGTTAGGATTAATTATGAGTACCAAGTTCGTTTGGGGACTAAACACTAGGGTTGCTGCGACAAGCTGACCACTTTTTCAGGGCATATGCTTACGCACCCCGGGGCCCAATTATTTTTTCTTGTTTTTATGGAATTTTGGACCATTTAATTTGTATTTAAAAATTTAATATTAATTAATGTCAGTTTAATCGAAAAATTACACGCTTTTTTCTCTTGATGGAGAAATATTTTTGAAATTATCAAATTTAGCTACAAAACTAATCTTGTTCTGAGATTGAAGTTTGTTAAATTTTAAATTTCAAGTTAATCTCATTCTCTCTTATATTACTTGCTTTACATTCTAATTTGAAAATAAAACATCCAATTAATTAATTTAGAAGTCAAACAACAAAAATCAGCATTACATTTTTCAAATTTTCACAAAACTAGTTTCGATGGTTTTAACGAACTCTCATCCTCAGCTACAAAAGCGCAAATGAACGAGATAAACCATCGAAACTAGTCCTGTGAAAATTTGAAAATATAGAGCTGATTTTTGTTTCTGACTTTTAAATCAATACTTGTTCGGCGTGTTATTATATCTTAATTATATTAGCCCCAAACCGGCTTATTTATTTATTTATTTATTTGCTTCCAGTTAATGTTTAAAACAATATTTAGGAATTTTACTGTACTTTTGTTTCATTGCTAATAAATTGCATTAATATGATGCTTCAGCAGTAAGATTCACAAGCGCAACAGTAATGTATTTTATATCATGAATCATACGAGCATATTTAAGTTTCCAGTTTTAAGGAGAAACAAGAAAATTTGAAAGAAATTTTGTAGAGATCCAGGGTAATTAGTCATTTGTCTTAATGAACCAGCATTTGAGAGCTTTATGTCCTAGATTGAGGCATGGAGCGAATTTATCTCGTGCAAATCCTTTGTCTCTACTTTGAAGCATAAATTTAGAAGTTATGAATGTTGCCTCCACAAGATCATCTTCAAATCCGTGCTTTCGTGAAGCAGTTAGTTCTTCGCAACACCAAAATCTCCGTCTCAAACAACTTCGATGGAGGCGGATTCACTTCACTGTGTTGCATAATAACCTCTGAAGACCGGCTCTGGGCTGAAAGGAAAAAGAAAAGATTAAATCATTAATTACGCCTCTAAAGAGCATCACTTTTAGCAAACAAAAAGCAAGCCGTTTCATCACTTCACTCACACCTCCATCCTGGTCATCGCTCACGATGATGACTGGGAGGAACACACTCATCATCGAGATGGTGGAGCAAAGAGCAAACGGAGGAATACCCCGCGATTGATTAATAGCCGCCAAGACCGGACTCGCCGGTGTGGGATGACGATCGAGGTTTCTTCCATCCCCCCTCCAAACACCCCTTAGTAAAATTAATGGGCCCTTCTTTTTAAAAGCTCTGTTCCCAAGTTTATCCGTACCCGAGTTACCCATTGATTGGGAGAAGAAGATACTCGCTTGTCAATTATTCACTTTGTAAATATGAAATGCAAGTTGCAGACCTGTCGCAAAGTTTCACGCGAGTTGCTTGCTTTCTTGGCTGCCGCCTGATCAATGTTTCCAAGATCCATCCACTAGAGTTCTTATCGCACAGCATTTCGGGATGCATTCGAGGATTTTTATTTTAAAGGAAGAATTCACGTCAGAAAGTGCCAAGAAATCTTTTCAACATTGAATTTATTATTCTAAGATTTCATTAATTTTCTTGAAGGATGGGTAATCAGCTCAGCAAGGAAAGGGGTGATTTGTTCATCAAGGCTATAGCATCCATCTTGCTAGGAACTTCGGACTTAATATGCAAATTAAAACTTTAAACATAAATGGAAACTTTTCCGCACATTACCAAATCTACTTAAAGTTCCTTCATTTGAAAGCCTTAGCAAGAGGGAAATGTATAAATCGAATTCAAACGTTAAAATGATCTCATGTTTATTAAAGTAATCTAATATATGTAATAATTTAAACTCTTATGAACATTCTACAGTGTGTGGAGTTTATCTCTTAACATTCTTTGACTGATAATTAGAACATTGATTTTCCGTTTTGCAATGAAGTAATTTCCGTTTTATTCGAATACTGAATAAACTGCAATTAATTAAAATTCGCAAAGACACAGCAAGAGACACATAGCTTTACTTGTTGAGACATAGAACCTTGTTTACAGATAATTTAAATGAACGTTTTCAATTTGGATATTTTATGAGAAATCTGAGAAATTGCAGCATTATTACTGAAAATTTCAATTCCTAAGATTTATGGCAGAGGAGAAGATGATAAGGTATGATGACGTAACCCAGAACAGGGTACTAATAAGCATATGTAACACTAATCACTTTACTATATGATGCTACAGTTACCCTTTGCGAAAATATTTTACAGAATTCTATTAAAAAATAATCCAATTTGAAACTCTTTAGAATCCTCCGGAGTTATAGACCAATTTTTAGTCCAAAGGGGCTTTGTTCCTGAATTGCGATTTTGCGTTGAAAACTTGTAGAGACATTAGGTAATTTTTAGAAGCAAGCGAGATGAAATATTAGTAACCGCCTTCGCCGGGAATCGAACCACGGACCTCTGGATTACGCGCTGAGTGTACTGACCACTACACCACGAAGACACGCTAAGAAGGCGGGAGAAATACCTTATAAACTTTAAAAGGCTGTATCACTTTTTAAATCGTTGCCACCAGATACTATCGCCCTGTATTATATTTGAAGAAATTAAATAATGAAGAATCTGCATAAATGTATGTTTCTCTCACTGTGATAAAACAGCGGTACCTAGAGCCATCCAATTTTGAATGACGTAATCCTAGTGCGAATATGGGCATCTGAAAGCCCAAATTTGAAATTTATAATTCGTTTTATTATCGATTTCATATTTTGTAAAACATTAACGAATTTTTTATTGACAAAACTCGACGATTTAAAAGCGAGCATTGGCAACACTCTACGGGCGGGGGACCTTTTTATCTCCAGCGCGCGGAACTGTGTATCCGAAATTCTAAATATATGCGCATTTTAAAATTATTTTGTGACATTGCTGTTGAACTGAATTTTATGGTTTAAGTGCAAAGAACATGATATTTAATAAATAAAGGTAACCCACAAAACGTTAACAAAACGCCCCTTTGGACGTAATTTAAAAACTGAAACCTTTCAGATTTTTTTTTTTTTTCTATAAATTAGAATTATATCCCCACTACAGAATTCTATGAAATTTTAGATTTCGCTTCTATAGAGTTATGTGTAGAGATTTTACAGTGATAAAAATAAACATTCAATATAGATTTATGCAAAGATTCTTTAAAATTTTTACAATTTCTGAAGATCCCCTTAAAGAATCTTATAAGATGTGTATAGAAACAACTAATAACGTTTAGTGAAAAGACCACACCCAGTTAATAGAAAATCGGGCCAACATTCTAAGAATTTTAAACAAGTTTCCTTGTATTAATTTTCTATAAAAGAATCCTGTAGAAACTTTTAAGTATTTAAAAGCATTATAAAATATACATAATTTTCTTTTGGGGATTAAAAAAATTGAAATAAATTTTCGTTTTGAAATAGAATTTTTTAACTTTAAAATTATCCATGACGTAAAGGATAAAAGCTTTCGAAACAGATGTGATCTTTTTCTAATGAAGAACTGCAATATCGCTTTTAATTAAAAAAATATTTAAATAAAAATACGTTTTATGTAATAGTTAAGTTAAATTAAAATTTAAGAAACTATTTCTCTTAGTCCGTCAGCGGCCGAATGGCAAAATCTCAGAACACTGGTATCTCGGTCTAGTTCGATTCCTAGCTTCAGGGTGTTTACGTGATTTTCTCCATTTTTTCCTTTAGACAGTTCTTTTAGGAAGTATCTATTCCGTTAGGCGGATAGTTCTAGAGAGCTTTTCCGTAATCAAACCAACCATTTCTTTTGTCAAGAGTACGTATGCAATAATTAAATTCATTATTTTTCAGGAATTATTTTACAATTAGCAGCTTAAATTTAATCTCGTAATTAATTTCGTGATTTAAATTAATTTTATGCTTTTACAAGACTCTGTATAAGTTCAGAAGCTAAAAGCGTTAAGCTAGAGAAAAACACTTAGAAATTTCCATTGACGACTAACTGAACACTTTAGAAAATGTGTTTATTTATTGATTTTGCTCTTCTTTATCCCAATTAGCATATTAAAAACTGAAAATTTTCATTGATTATTTTCGAAAACTTTACAGATTTCTCTAGAATATACAAACAACTCTAGAACACCATCATATAAAGGTTTCACAAAATTTCCATATAATTTTGCTGAGCAACATTTCTATAGAACTCTGTCATGTAAAAGCTTAATAAACTTTCTGTGCAATTTTGTACAGACGCATTTCTGCAGAAGATTGTGCATTAACTCCTTAAGAATTCTACAGAGCTCTATCAGCCTGTGTAAAAATCTTTTGTAAGGAATGTTACTGATTTAGTGAAGCATCTACAGGAGTTTTGTGCTAGACTTTCCAAAACACTTCCAAATAATTATTATTTTGATGAAATTTTAAAGTGTTATTAATTATCTTCGAAACTGCAGTTCATTCATGGTTGGCTGTGCATTAAGATATGCTTATGTCAATGGGCAAGAGAAAACGTCTGCCGCTTGCAATAAGCACCGTCTGAGGAAGAGGTAGTTCTCTCCCAGTAATAGATAGGGCAGGGGATGTGTCCAGACATGAATTGATTTAAACGGGTCGTTAAGGAGACGTCTTTTCTATACAACAGAAACAAGATGAAATTCTTTATTATTTAGTTTCATTTTTTACAAAATATAATTAAATGTTAATTTATTTCTTAGACTCAATTTACTGAAATTTTAGGGACATATCAATTCTGTGATTATTCAATCTTAATTCAATGATAACAATTCTGTGATTCTGGTTTCGATTTATGCTGAAAACGAAATAAGACAAATATATATATAACAAGACAAAACAATAAATTAAATCGTAAAATAAGATTATTATTTAGTTTCATTTCTAATGAAGTTTAGTTAGTTTCATTAATTAATAATTTTTTCATCTTATGCTTAAAACGTAATAAGAAAAAACGATAATAAGGAATAGAAGAAAACAATTTTTATACTCAAGAATAAGACGAAACAGTAAACTGAATTGTGAAGTAAGATTCTTTGTTATTTAATTTTTCTTCTAATAAATTATACTTAGTTACTTATTTATTTCTTAGTCAATTTAACCATGTTAATAACATTCCGTGATTATGATTTTGCTTATGTTTAAAATGAAATAGGAAAGACGAAATGAAATAGGAATAAATAATAATAAAGAATAAGACGAAATGAAACTAATTAATGAAGAATTTTCTATACTTACTAACTAAAGTAAAACTAAGTAATGACGAATTTCTAGTAGTAACTATCTAAAATAAAACTGAATAATGAAGAATTTCCTAATAATAACTCATTAAATGAGTTTAAATAATAAAGAATTCATTGATATTGATAACTAAGCGAAACTAATTAATTTTAACGAAAATAACATAGATTTTTATTTAAGGATTTAAATTGTCCTTTATTTTTTTTAGTTATTATTCTTTATTTATTTATTCTTTAGTTTAACTTAGTTAGCATTATTTTAATATTAACTAAATGAAATTAAACAATAAAGAATAACAACAAAGGATAAGATCAAACCAAATTAGAGAACAGGATGAAATAAAACTATCTTCTGTTTTATGCTCAAGGCTTCAGATTTAAGCATAAGACAGAATATCATTTTTGAGTACTTATTTTACATTTATACATTATTTTCTGTCAAATTGTTCCTCTTGCTTTTGAAGCTTCGTTTCACAGTTTTTGAGTTTAAGCAATTACGTAAGAAATTGTTCTACGGCTGCTTGATTCTTTCTTCTCTAAAGACATTTTTATCTGGCTGGTAGGCAGCAAAAACGCATTTTATGCCAGATCAGTGCCACGAATCGGAGAATCTAGTCTAACGGAAGCTAACGAGGCAAATCATTTTAGCCAATCGCCGAGATCCATCTACAACCCCAGACAGAGACTAAAACAAGCAGGTCCTCTTTTCAGCAAGCTAACG